GAATGGTCCCCCAAGCGAATATGCAACTGAAAACTCCACACCCCAGAATGATTCGAACCCAGACAGCCAGGAGCACTATGCACCATGGCATATATATAATACACACATATATAATACTGTATAGAGAAAATATGCCCTGAGAAAATTCACCCCAAAAATGTATTGCGCTTAGCATATTTTTCTGGGTTCGAAAATATTGTCAAGGCCTTGAAACTTTTTGATATACATGTTTTGTTTAACAATGAAAACACAGTTGGAAAATTATTACTTAGAAACAGCCCTCATAGTGATAAGTGTCATTTACAAAATACCCCTGTAAAGATTGTATTATATTCTATCAGTTCTGTCATTCTATCAGTTCTGTCATTCTATAATTCTATCATTCTGTCAAACATACCAAGATTTGAAATATCGAATTTTGCAGCATAAACCGTAAAAAAATGGTCAGTTATTTAATGCTCTATTTATTTATTAGAAAATTCTCACCAAATTGATTGGGAGAGATCTTCTTCAGTAACAAAATATAAAAGCATTTTTAACCAAAAAAACATTATTGAATCTGAATTTGAATACAAACTACAAATCCATACATGAATATTATTAATAATTCTGTACTATTTGTATCCATTTTTAATTGATCAATTACTAACTATTTTAGTAAGATCATTAATGCATAGATGTCTTTTTATGGATGTCGCTTTTCGGAACTCATGTAATTAGGCCTTCCACAGTTTCCAATTTTTCTTTGCTTCATGAACCAAAGTTTTTCACCTCACATGTATCCTTCCTTTTTACTGTCTATCTCCCTCCACAGAATTGTAAAGTTGATTCTTGTGATGTGTTGATTAACATGAAATTGCTTATTAAGTAATTTCTCGTTTCATTTACCCGATAGCCGGAACCGCACTATTTGAGGCCACCACAACACTCCCGCTCCCACAACACCACCACAACACAACCACATTACCAACACCCCCACCGCCAACACCATCCACCCCCCTGCCAACTCCACCACCGCCAACACCATCCCCCCCTGCCAACACCACCACCCGCCAACACCATCCCTCCCCCCTGCCAACACCCCCCACCCCCAACACCCCCCCTCCCCCCTGCCAACACCCCCCCTCCCCCCCTGCCAACACCCCCCCTCCCCCCCTGCCAACACCCCCCTCCCCCCCTGCCAACACCCCCCCTGCCAAAACCCCCCCCCCCCTCCCCCCCTGCCAACACCCCCCTCCCCCCCTGCCAACACCCCCCTCCCCCCCCTGCCAACACCCCCCTCCCCCCCCTGCCAACACCCCCCTCCCCCCCTGCCAACACCACCCCCCCCCCTGCCAACACTCCCACCGCCAACTCAACAACAACAGGTGAAAATGACCGCCTAGTATTTTAGAAAATGTGTTTAAAAAAATGATCGTTGGGCAGTTGAAGAGGTCTAACGACGCGGAAATGCTCTCTTGGAAGGTGAAGCAGGCAGAAATGTCCTTGTGCAAGATATAAATGCTCGCTTATGACAAGAAAGTGTTCAGTTATATCAAAGAAATACTTGTTTAATGGCTGAAAATATTCGCTAAAGCCTGAAACGCGTCGACAGTTTATTGAAGGTCACAATTTGTGTTTAGAAACAAAACTGTTCCATTAAACATCGGAAATATTTGGGTTTAGTTTGTCAAAATACGCGGTAGTTTGGTAGAAATATAAATACTACGAAATGTATTTTTAATAAATGTAAATGTTCATGTGTAAATGATGAATTTCTTCTTTATATGATGGGAAATGGATAAGTATGTGAATAAATGTCCGTGTCAAGAGGCACAGATGGTGCAAGAGTCCGTGTCAAGAGGCACAGATGGTGCAAGAGTCCGTGTCAAGAGGCACAGATGGTGCAAGAGTCCGTGTCAAGAGGCACAGATGGTGCAAGAGTCCGTGTCAAGAGGCACAGATGGTGCAAGAGTCCGCGTCAAGAGGCACAGATGGTGCAAGAGTCCGCGTCAAGAGGCACAGATGGTGCAAGAGTCCGTGTCAAGAGGCACAGATGGTGCAAGAGTCCGCGTCAAGAGGCACAGATGGTGCAAGAGTCCGTGTCAAGAGGCACAGATGGTGCAAGAGTCCGTGTCAAGAGGCAGAGATGGTGCAAGAGTCCGTTGAAGAAGTGCAAATGTTGGTTTAAATCGTGGAAATGTTCATTCAAGATGAGGAAGTGGTTGTTGATGAGGTCAGTGAAGTGGAAATGTTTCCTTAGCAAGATACGCTTACTTGCAGGAAGGGAATGTTCTCTCAGATGTCTCTCAGATGAGAATGGTGTCTTGAGCACATGAATTACCGAATTACTTGCAGGATATGCTTGCTTGGATTTAGAAAGTGTGCGCAGAGAGAGAGAGAGAGAGAGAGAGAGAGAGAGAGAGAGAGAGAGAGAGAGAGAGAGAGAGAGAGAGAGAGAGAGAGAGAGAGAGAGAGAGAGAAAGAGAAAGTGTGCGCAGAGAGAGAGAGGGAGAGAAAGAGAGAGAGAGAGAGAGAGAGAGAGAGAGAATGAGTGAGTGTGTGAGTGTCCGCATTCACCAAGGCAGGCAGAGAAAGTCCGTAGAGTTTTGTCTCTTAAAAATTACGATTACTTTTTTTTTAACTACGAGACCCTTCACATAGGCTAAGGTAGCCTCATAAATGCAATTGTACATAAGCATGTTAATTAAATATTTAAAAATAAAACATAATGGGTACAGTCTTCTCTAAATTTATTTCTCCACCCCCCCTAACATTTATCGAATAAAATGTTAATTACATATACTTTTGTTGAGGGTGACATAATATACGTAATTTGAGACTAGGGGAAAAAAATTGACTACGTAAAAATTAGCATGCAGTATGGAACGGTCTCCATGAATGAAATCGAGCACACGCGCGCGCGCACACACACACACACACACACACACACACACACACACACACACACACACACACACACACACACACACACACACACACACACACACACACACACGTACGTACGTGGCCGAGTGGACAGCGCTCGGGAGTCGTAGTCCTAAAGGGCCCGGGTTCGATTCCCGACCGAGGCAGAAACAAATGAGCAGAGCTTATTTAACCCTGATGTCCCTCTTCACCTAGTAGTAAATAGGTACCGGGGAGACAGACAGCTGCCACGGACTGCATACTGGGGATATGTGTTTGTGTGTGAGAAATATGTAGAAGATATGATACATATTTCTCATATCAATCATGATTCATATATTTTTTCATACGGAAAAAAATAAGTCGAGAATCAGAACACTATAGACAATCGACGGTTAGAAAGGCGGGGCCCAAGAGCTAACAACTCAATCTTGCAATCAAAAATAGTAAACACACACACACAGGCACGCACGCACTACAGTCACACACACACACACACACACACACACACACACACACACACACACACACACACACACACACACACACACACACACGCACGCACGCACTACAGTCATACACACACACACGCACGCACGCACGCACTACAGTCATACATACACACACACACACACACACACACACACACACACACACACACACACACACACACACACACACACACACACACACACACACACACACACACGCACGCACTACAGTCATACACACATGTATAAATACATATTTACATAAATGCCCGGCTCATTATCTCTCATATTTACGACAATATTATAACCTCATTAAGAAAATTAATTATCAGACATACAATTTTGTAGACTAGACAAAATGATTATAAGGTACGAACGATCAGAATTTATTTAAAGCATTTTTTTTCCTCTTATCTCATTAAGGAAAATTGGAATTCCTACAACAGAATGTATTTTGCTTTTGCTTAAAATGATCTTTTTTTTTTTTTTTTAATTACATTTCATGTTATTTAGAGAAATGCGATATGCACAGTTGCTGTAATTAAAGTGTGCAATATTATATATATTGCGCATCATATTATGTATTGTACATAGTGATTGCACATTATACCCACACAGTATTCAGCATCGCGTGAAATCACCGTTAATTAGGATACAGTTCACGCACAATATGTGTACAATACCAGCGCAATAACCGCACAATACCTGTACTAACCGCACAATACCTGTACTAACCACACAATACCTGTACAACATAGGCAACACACATAATCACCTAGTTCACTGGCAATAATCGCACACACTACCTGTGCACTACCCGCACAATACCCACACGGCCGCATAAGGCTCATAAACTCACTGTACAATGCCCACGCGATAGCCATACGACGCCCACACGATAGCCATACGTCGTCAGTTAAATAGCTATACGTCGCCTTGCTTACGAAAGCCATATACAGCCATGCACAAAATAGTTATACAGTGCCCATTCGATGGCTATATAATGCTTGCACGATAGGGGCCACTGTCCCCCTACCAACACACATACACACACACACACACACACACACACACACACACACACACACACACACACACACACACACACACACACACACACACACACACACACACACACACACACACAGGGGCCTCGTAGCCTGGTGGATAGCGCGCAGGACTCGTAATTCTGTGGCGCGGGTTCGATTCCCGCACGAGGCAGAAACAAATGGGCAAAGTTTCTTTCACCCTAAGTGCCCCTGTTACCTAGCAGTAAATAGGTACCTGGGAGTTAGTCAGCTGTCACGGGCTGCTTCCTGGGGTGTGTGTGTGTGTGTGGTGTGGGGAAAAAAAAAGTAGTTAGTAAAACAGTTGATTGACAGTTGAGAGGCGGGCCGAAAGAGCAAAACTCAACCCCCGCAAAAACACAACTAGTAAACACAACTAGTAAACACACACACACACCATATTACCCTTACCGAACTTTACGTAATTTGAACGCAATACTCTTTAGAGATATGCTTGACAGTCTGCCAGTACCCACACGCAGTATCCACCTGGTACCCACACGCAATATCCTCCTGGTACCCACACGGTACCCGCATGATAGCATCTCCAAATGAAACAAGGAAATTAAGTGGTAACAAGTTTGCACAAGTATCTAAGGCTGGCAACTTTGTACAGGAAGTTAAAGAGTAATTCTTTCCTGATTTTATTTCCTCTTATTGGCTCCAGTGACCTCGTTACAGCGGCGGCGACCTTGGGTGTTATGGCGCCAGTGACCTCGTTCTTACGGGCTCCAGGTGACCTCGGTATTACGGCTGCAGTGAGCTTGTTATTACGACGCTAATGAATTATTCAGTAGTTAATTCTGTCTCCCGCGTCCAATTAGGCCTTGCATGCATTTGCGTCTCTTGCGTCCACTAGCATCCAGTTGCTTCTCCTGTGTGTGTCACGGGTCAACCTGCGTCTCTCCTGTCACCCCCGAGTCCACCCGCGTTTGTTCTGTCAACCCCCGGGTCCACCCGTGTCTGTTCTGTCACCCCCCGGGTCCACCCGCGTCTCCTGTCACCCCCCGGATCAACCTGTGTCTCTCCTGTCACCCCCTGGTCCACCCGCGGCTCTCCTGTCACCCCCGGGTCCACCCGTGTCTCTCCTGTCACCCCCGGGTCCACCCGCGTCTCCTGTCACCCCCGGGTCCACCCGCGGCTCTCCTGTCACCCCCGGGTCCACCCGCGGCTCTCCTGTCACCCCCGGGTCCACCCGCGTCTCCTGTCACCCCCGGGTCCACCCGCGGCTCTCCTGTCACCCCCGGGTCCACCCGCGTCTCCTGTCACCCCCGGGTCCACCCGCGTCTCCTGTCACCCCCGGGTCCACCCGCGGCTCCTGCAGCTCGCAGCGACTCTTTGAAAACACACTTTGGAATTTTTTTACGGGAGTGTTACCTTAGGGAGGTAAAGTTAAGAGGGTTGGCCGGCGCTAGTCCCTGGTTGGGCAGGGATAGTTGTGGGTGGAGGGGCCGGGATAGGTGTGGGTGGAGGGGCGGGGATAGGTGAGAGTGAAGGGCGGGGATAGGTGAGAGTGGAGGACCGGGATAGGTGAGTGGAGGGATGAGGTGGAACTCCTTCACTCTTATACAACTCACTCAACCTCTCCCAACATTCACACCTGGTGAATGTTAAACGTTATTCAGCCAGGTTGACTGCGTTCACGGGGCGCGGGGGGTTTCGAGCGGAGATGTCCTGTAGAACCCCCCCAAGATTACCTAGAGCACGTCGTGGTTCAGGGGGTTGAGGTGCGCGGCTGGGAGTACCCACGGGTCTCTGGGACGAGTCACATTGCTCAAATTGGTTTTTCTTATCAGTATTAACAAGTTTATTTTTATCTTATCATCATTGCACAAAGAATTCACATTGACGTGATGTGTCAACGTGTGTGAAGGGGGTTCGAATCCTTCTAATGGCACCTACTCATTTTCTCATAATCATTAATAAGGATATTCCGAAGCATCTCATTGGCTGATAATTTTCAAGATGAGGAGTATTTGCTGTTTCGCGATTGGTTGATTCTTTTGTCGAGCCGCGCGAGGTGGCTAAGCGTCTCATTGGTTGGTTAGTCGTAATTCGGAAGTATTATTGGCTCCTGATTGGACGGGGAGGATCATGAATAATGTTAAGCATCCCATTACCCTATCATAGTAGGATGAGAATTTCCGTATAGCCTACGGCTGGTTATTTTTATATTAGTCTTAATATTCCGATTTTCGAAAAAATCTTAGTTTTCCATACATAGTTTACTCGCGGGTTTTGATAATTTGAAAGTGATTAATTGAAATTAAATTACCAGTGCTTTGACACGTTTCTGTAGGTCAGACCCGGCTTTAAATTATAAAATGAAATCAATGGAGCCATTAAGGGTTAATGGGGGTTATTCACTTGGCGCTTATAAAAGTTGCTTTGGCGACCATTCGTGCAGGGTCGTCACAAGATGACGGACGCCGCTGATTGGCTGGCCCTTGTGACTTCTTTACCCCCCTGCCCCCCTCACCCCCAAACCACCTGGTTCTTGAGCCCCCCCCCCTCCCTTCAACTCCCCCCCCCCCCCTGCACCATCTGACTCTTGTGTCCTCAGTGTGTAGAAATATATATCAACAACTCTCTAAGTTCGCTTAAAACTATATGTAAACAACGGTGTTATATATATATATATATATATATATATATATATATATATATATATATATATATATATATATATATATATATATATAAATATATATATATATATATATATATATATATATATATATATATATATATATATATATATATATATATATATATGTCGTACCTAGTAGCCAGAACTCACTTCTCAGCCTACTATTCAAGGCCCGATTTGCCTAATAAGCCAAGTTTTCCTGAATTAATATATTTACTATAATTTTTTTCTTATGAAATGATAAAGCAACCCTTTTCTCTATGTATGAGGTCAATTTTTTTTATTGGAGTTAAAATTAACGTAGATATATGACCGAACCTAACCAACCCTACCTAACCTAACCTAACCTATATTTATAGGTAAGGTTAGGTTAGGTAGCCAAAAAAAGCTAGGTTAGGTTAGGTTAGGTAGGTTAGGTAGACGAAAAAACATTAATTCATGAAAACTTGGCTTATTAGGCAAATCGGGCCTTGAATAGTAGGCTGAGAAGTGCGTTCTGGCTATTAGGTACGACATATATATATATATATATATATATATATATATATATATATATATATATATATATATATATATATATATATTATATTTTTTTTTTTTTTTATCAATAGGAAGGGAGTACCACCTCTAGCTGGAAGAAGGGGGACCCATAGCCTCGGAGGAAACCACGCATAACGCATTAGAGGGAATGTTTAGATCCCCTCCAATACAGTTTCTGTGTGCTTTTCTCCTACCACCCCCTTCCTTTTTTATTTTTTGTGCTTTATTATGCATTTGATGGTTACAAGATATACATGGGTTGATACAAAAATAATAATGCAAAAAGGTGCTTAAAGGTTATGGATCTCTTGAAAAACACAACAATGAGAAAAATTGATGAATGTCTCAGACGGGTTCGATCATTGTTGCAAGTCAAACACTTCTTCGAATTCCTCTGAAGTTGGACTAGTGCCCAAGACGCAACAGGCATTTCCCCTCTGAATCGCAACACTGAGGCGCTGGAACAAGAAACTTTTTGCTCTCTGGTCTTTTGTAGCGCTGATCAATTTGTCCCCCAATTCCTTCAGGAACTTCAATGCACATTTTCCCCACGAACCGAGGGTCTCCGAGCCGATCGGAACAAAGCTGTAGCAGTGTGCTAGACCTCTGTATTTAATAATTTTCATATATATTTTCATATATATATATATATATATATATATATATATATATATATGTCGTACCTAGAAGCCAGAACGCACTTCTCAGCCTACTATGCAAGGCCCAATTTGCCTAATAAGCCAAGTTTTCCCAAAATAATATATTTTCTCTATTTGTTTTCTTATGAAATGATAAAGCTACCCATTTCATTATGTATGAGGTAAATTTTATTTTATTGGAGTTAAAATTAACGTAGATATATGACCGAACCTAACCAACCCTACCTAACCTAACCTAACTTATCTCTATAAGTTAGGTTAGGTTAGGTAACCGAAAAAGTTAGGTTAGGTTAGGTTAGGTAGGTTAGGTAGTCGAAAAAACATTAATTCATGAAAACATGGCTTATTAGGCAAATCGGGCCTTGCATAGTAGGCCGAGAAGTGCGTTCTGGCTACTAGGTACGACATATATATATATATATATATATATATATATAAACGGAATGTTTCCGTTTATATTATTAAATGTGTGTGTGTGTGTGTGTATGTATGTATGATTTGTTATTATTTTTCTTCGTAGTGTATAATAAACAGATATTATCACTGGAAGCATGAATCGCAGGTATTGTGCCAAGAAGGAAAATACAAGAGGGGTAAATTGAAGTAATCACTCACGCTGTAAGTGGCGGCATTCAGGACCTGTTGTAAACCTGTTCTCCAGCCTCGTGTAATTTTCTCTGCTAATGTGATGGCGCAACCGGCCACCTGAAGAGCACAAGCTGGGAAGAACTCATAATTTTTTCTCATTATCTCGAATGAAAAGATTTCTTTTATTTGAATACACTGTATATTTGAAAGCACTTGCATCATGATCTTGCAATGTTCCCCCATTGGTAAATGTCAAGGCTCCAGGCGGTGCTCTGACAGGCAGGTCGGCCTTACCAACACCAGCTTAGGCTCCTCCTACTGCCAGCTTAGGATCCTCCTACTGCAAGCTAGGCTCCTCCTACTGCCAGCTTAGGATCCTCCTACTGCAAGCTAGGCTCCTCCTACTGCCAGCTTAGGATCCTCCTACTGCAAGCTAGGCTCCTCCTACTGCCAGCTTAGGCTCCTCCTACTGCAATCTAAGCTCCTCCTACTGCCAGCTTAGGATCCTCCTACTGCCAGCTTAGGATCCTCCTACTGCCAGCTTAGGATCCTCCTACTGCCAGCTTAGACTCCTACTGCCAGCTTAGGCTCCTACTGCAAGCTAAGCTCCTCCTACTGCCAGCTTAGGCTCCTACTGCCAGCTTAGGCTCCTATTGCCAGCTTAGGCTCCTCCTACTGCCAGCTTAGGCTCCTCCTACTGCCAGCTTAGGCTTCTCCTACTGCCAGCTTAGACTCCTGCCAGCTTAGGCTCCTCCTACTGCCACCTAAGCTCCTCCTACTGCCAGCTTAGGCTCCTCCTACTGCCAGCTAAGCTTCTCCTACTGCCAGCTTAGGCTCCTCCTACTGCCAGCTTAGGCTCCTCCTACTGCCAGCTTACGCTCCTCCTACTGCCAGCTTAGGCTCCTCCTACTGCCAGCTTAGACTCCTACTGCCAGCTAGGCTCCTCCTACTGCCAGCTTAGGCTCCTACTGCCAGTTTGGGCTCCTACTGCCAGCTTAGGCTCCTCCTACTGCCAGCTTAAGCTCCTACTGCCAGCTTAGGCTCCTCCTACTGCAAGCTAGGCTCCTCCTACTGCCAGCTTAGGCTCCTACTGCAAGCTAGGCTCCTCCTGCCAGCTTAGGCTCCTCCTACTGCAAGCTAGGCTCCTCCTACTGCCAGCTTAGACTCCTACTGCCAGCTAGGCTCCTCCTACTGCCAGCTTAGGCTCCTACTGCCAGTTTGGGCTCCTACTGCCAGCCTAGGCTCCTCCTACTGCCAGCTTAAGCTCCTACTGCCAGCTTAGGCTCCTCCTACTGCAAGCTAGGCTCCTACTGCCAGCTTAGGCTCCTACTGGAAGCTAGGTTCCTCCTGCCACCTTAGGCTCCTCCTACGGCAAGCTAGGCTCCTCCTACTGCCAGCTTAGGCTCCTACTGCAAGCTAGGCTCCTACTGCCAGCTTAGGCTCCTCCTACTGCAAGCTAGGCTCCTCCTACTGCCAGCTTAGACTCCTACTGCCAGCTTAGGCTCCTCCTACTGCCAGTTTAGGCTCCTACTGCCAGCTTAGGCTCCTCTACTGCCAGCCTAGGCTCCTACTGCCACCTTAGGCTCCTCCTACTGCCAGCTTAGGCTCCTCCTACTGCCACCCTAGGCTCCTCCTACTGCCAGCTTAGGCTCCTCCCTCGACCAAATACTCACTAGCCTATAACTCCACTCGCACTAAGCCAAGTATTGTCCATTTGTATCTATGTTGTGTCCACAAGCTAAGTTGGCTCCTAGCTTGTGGACACAACATAGTTTGGGTTGTGATCAACAACTACCCTTGGCTCCACCCACAACCGGCTAGGCTCCACCCACAACCGGCTAGGCTCCACCCTCAACCGGCTAGGCTCCACCCACAACCGGTTAGGCTCCACCCGTCACCGGTTGGACTCCACCCCTGGGTAATGGATCACTGGTCCGAAATACTGTCGCTCGACCCGGGCCACATTTATGGAGCTGGGAATGGTGCAGGAAGTGTTTTATTGATGGTATCCACTAATTTGTTGTCCCTTTCTCTTTGTCTCTCTCCCTCTATATCCTCCACTTTTCCTCTCTCTCACACACACACACACACACACACACACACACACACACACACACACACACACACACACACACACACACACACACACACACACACACACACACACAGTACCGCATAAGAGGCTGGTACATAAGCTGAGAGACAGGCAGGTGTAGCTGGCAAGGTGCTCCAGTGGATAAGGGAGTACCTAAGCAATAGGAAGCAGAGAGTTACGGTGAGGGGTGAGACCTCAGATTGGCGTGAAGTCACCAGTGGAGTCCCACAGGGCTCTGTACTCGGTCCTATCTTGTTTCTGATGTATGTAAATGATCTCCCGGAGGGTATAGATTCATTTCTCTCAATGTTTGCGGACGATGCCAAAATTATGAGAAGGATTAAGACAGAGGAGGACTGCTTGAGGCTTCAAGAAGACCTAGACAAGCTGAAGGAATGGTCAAACAAATGGTTGTTAGAGTTTAACCCAAGCAAATGTAATGTAATGTAATGAAGATAGGTGTAAGGAGCAGGAGGCCAGATACAAGGTATCATCTGGGAGATGGTAAAAATTCTTCAGGAGTCAGAGAAGGAAAAAGACTTGGGGGTTGATATCACGCCAGACCTGTCTCCTGCAGCACATATCAAGCGGATAACATCAGCGGCATATGCCAGGCTGGCCAACATACGAACGGCATTCAGAAACTTGTGTAAGGAATCATTCAGAACTTTGTATACCACATATGTCAGGCCAATCCTGGAGTATGCAGCCCCAGCATGGAGTCCATATCTAGTCAAGGATAAGACTAAACTGGAAAAGGTACAAAGGTTTGCCACCAGACTAGTACCAGAGCTGAGAGGTATGAGCTACGAGGAGAGACTACGGTAATTAAACCTCACTTCGCTGGAAGACAGAAGAGTTAGGGGGACATGATCACCACATTCAAGATTCTCAAGGGACTTGATAGGGTAGATAAAAACAGTCTGTTTAACACAAGGGGAACACGCACAAGGGGACACAGGTGGAAACTGAGTGCCCAAATGAGCCACAGAGATATTAGAAAGAACTTTTTTAGTGTCAGAGTGGTTGACAAATGGAATGCATTAGGAAGTGATGTGGTGGAGGCTGACTCCATACACAGTTTCAAGTATAGATATGATAGAGCCCAATAGGCTCAGGAACCTATTCACCTGTTGATTGACGGTTGAGAGGCGGGACCAAAGAACCAGAGCTCAAACCCCGCAAGCACAATTAGGTGAGTACACCCCCCCCCACACACACACACATATATATATATATATATATATATATATATATATATATATATATATATATATATATATATATATATATATATATATATATATCCCTCCCTCTCATAAACAACACAGGTATTTACCTCACGATCACAACTTGCCCCTCGTTCCTTAATCCTATGCACTTTCGTCCCCTCACTCTATCCCCTCCCTCTCCCTATCATGATTACAGCACCCTTTATCTCTCCTCTCCCCTCGCACACTCTGTCCTTCCCTCCCACATCTTCTCCTACTCTCCCACACCCTCCCACATCCTCATCCGACATTCGTCTGACAGTGTACTGGTCCTCTTCTTCGGTAAATTGAATCAGGATAATCATCTCGCTTTGTCGGGCGTGTGGCCCCGTGTTAAGGTGTGCCGACGGCCAGGGAGGGAACCTCGCAGGTATGAGAGAGAGGACCTGCTGCTACACAAGCTCCCCCTCGGCCTGGTGGAGGACACGGCAGCAGGGGAGACAGAGAGGGAGGGAGGGTGTGGAAGAGAGGGATTGGTATGGAGCCTTGAAAGAAGAAAGGGAGGGAGGAATAGACGGTAGATTAATTGTATGGAAGGGATGTGGAGGAGGGGTGGATAGGAGGGAGTGAGGAAATAGAAGAGTCAAGGAACGATGGAGTGAGATGGAGTGAAAAAAGGAAGGGACAGGTGGACAGGTGGACAGACAGACAGACAGACAGAGCGGTCATTTCAGACTTGTTCGTATCATTCCACATTTATTCCTGCCATTCGAGACCCTCACATCATTCCAAACCTCTGTGTTATTCCAGACACACTTGCACCGTTCCAGATATCCCAAGCACTTGGACGGTAGAACGATGGACTCGCTTCATGCAGATCGGCGTTCAATTCCCCCCGACCGTCCAAGTGGTTGGGCACCATTCCTCCCCTTCCCCCCCGTCCCATCTCAAATCCTTATCCTGACCCTTTCCCAAGTGCTATATAGTCGAAATGGCTTAATGCTTTGTCCTGATAATTACTCTACTATCTACTTGCGCCGTTCCAGTTCTATCATTCCAGCTCTCGTGTTAGCCTGGTGATCATGGTGATACTGGGAGTTTTAACATAACGAGATCAGTATCGAATCATTCACGGTAGATGGGGAATTTATTTTTATATCGCTTGATGGAAGTGCATCGATTAGAGAGGGCATTTAAGTAGACCCTAAGTCAGTTTGATCGGTGGCCGTTTAAAGAGCGGCGATTAGAGAGCGTTGGTTTGAGAACGCCTATAAGATGGTGTTGATTAAAGTACGTCCAATTAAGCCCAACAATTAGATACCGTCGATTGAAAATTCTTAGTTAGATTACATCGATTAGAGTACGTCGATTACGTTAGAGTACGTCGATTAGAGTGTGCCGACGAGTGTGGAATGATTGGAGCTTACTGATCAGGGCGCGCTTAGTAGAGAGAGAGTTCAAAATAAGGACTTCGATTATAAAGTTAGAATTCCAAATGGCCGTTTAGTGAGCGTCGATTATGGCCCTGAGGTTAAATGACCGCAGGTTAAGAGTGTGTCTTGCTCACAATAGTTTGGTCTTGGTCTTATGGCCAAGACCAAAGACCAGACAAAGAACAACAATTGGAGGGTTTTAATCAATAACTTATTAACCAACACGTATACTTATCGATTAAGGCAGTGTCTGGGATGCTCCCGGACGCAGGTTCGAATCCTCGTCACGGCCCTTGTGGATTTGTTCACGTATACTTAAGTCCTACAGACAGTCCAGAGCAAAAATATACTCTCGGAGTATATCCAAAGGGGGAGGGACCTTCTCTTGGTGTGTATATCCGTTCTGGGCTCAATTTAACCGTTTAATATACGTAGAAACTTCATTATTTACATTTATTTACACACTAGTATAGACCCCCAGAGACAGAACAGGCTGCTAACGGAAGAGCATCGCGCGGGGCGCAGTGGAATCCCCTGGTAACGCATCCCATCACCCAGGTCGTAGGATCCGACCCTCTGCGCGAAAATTGGTGCTCGCTAGATTGTTATAGTTTCAACCCTTTATTGCCTGGGGAGGACTGAGGTGGGGGGGGGGAGGGGTGACACAGACCTTAATTTTTTTTCATATATCTAGTCCAGAGGTCTTAAGATATTATTACATTTTTAATTTTTTAATTTTTTTTTATGCAGAAAATTTGTCCCCCTTTTTTGGTGTTTTTGTTCAGAAGTCGTATCTATTTTTTCCTATTTTTTTTTGGGGGGGGCAAATGGTGAGTTTCGTTTCGTGTTTTTGTTTTTATGGCGTGTAGTCGCATCTATTGTTGGGGCTGACGTGGAAATGGGCGAGTGGAAGCCGTGGCCATGGGCTCCCTGTGATGAGTGGGCCGCCAACACTACCAAACCGCTTTCGAATATTGACTGGTAGAGTTGCATCGCTGCCAGTCGGTGACGTCACGTGGTCTCGGTGACGTCACATGGCCTCGGTGAAGTCAGCTGGTCTCGACGAGACCTATTGATATGTTTACTGGTTGCAAAATTACCACCAATTATTTCTGGTAAATATAAATGTTAAAAGTTGTCTCGATTTTTCGGCAGAAGTTCTGGACCATGAAAACTTTTTCGTCTATTGTTTCAATCTCATATTTTTTGGTATGTGTTCCCACGGGGCTCAGGGTATAAAAGTTCCTTGAGGTGAATCTAGGGACTTTCCTCAAAGTTGTGTTCTCTACGGGATGGTGTCCTCAATGGTTCATTTTTCAGGTCTACTTCCACCACACCAGAGTCGGAGGTAAGAGGATGCTCCAGCGAGTACACAGAGGAAGACCTGGCCACGGAGGCCGAGACACAGAGGAAGACCTGGCCACGGAGGCCGAAACACAGAGGAAGACCTGGCCACGGAGGCCGAGACACAGAGGAAGACCTGGCCACGGAGGCCGAAACACAGAGGAAGACCTGGCCACGGAGGCCGAAACACAGAGGAAGACCTGGTCACGGAGGCCGAGACACTGAGGAAGACCTGGTCACGGAGGCCGAGACACTGAGGAAGACCTGGCCACGGAGGCCGAGACACAGAGGAAGACCTGGCCACGGAGGCCGAGACACAGAGGAAGACCTGGTCACGGAGGCCGAGACACAGAGGAAGACCTGGCCACGGAGGCCGAGACACAGAGGAAGACCTGGCCACGGAGGCCGAGACACTGAGGAAGACCTGGTCACGGAGGCCGAGACACTGAGGAAGACCTGGTCACGGACACTGGACTAAGACCCTGAACGCAATCGGACATAGGAGGAGCCTTAACACGTAGACTGGACACAGGAGAGCATGGACATGGAGGCGGGAACCACAGGAAGACATAGACACCGAGACTGGACAAGATTGGATGCAGGAGAACCTGGACACGGAGAAAACCTGGACACTGATGCGGGACACGTGGGAGACCTTGGACACAGGCGCAACCTGGAGGATAACCCAGGTAAGTATTCCAGGACCAGGAAAGGCCCCAGGAGACTGGAGGAGGACCTGTGAGCCACAGGATGATGATCTTGAAGGAGCTCAGTCTAAGCCCCGAAGTCAGGCGCTCTTCCAGACACTCACTTCGCTTCGTTCGATATCATGAACTGGGTCGAGTGGGACTCATGCAAGTGATATCCTCGAGGGCCAATTGCCAGTTTATACTTGAGGAGTGTCGGGTCGCGTCAAGTGGTAGAAGGGGACGGACAGGTGGGAGAAAGGGCATGAGAGGGGAGAAAAAGAGGGGACAAACTCCCATTGCTTTGCTGTATTTAATTCTCTATTGCCTGACTTCCCTGTACTTGTACACTACTTGTCCTGCTGGTCTTCCTGAGATACTCACTTTTCTTTTTTGGTTCTCTTTGCTTTCTTTGTCTTCCTTTGACATGTTCTGGCTAATGAATACTTCATGGTACTTGACCTTTATCCATCAGTTTCCTCTTTCCAACTAGTATATATTTCACTGAGGTAATATTCTGAAAGCTCACTTACACTGGTCGATTACATCCAAATTTGAACTTTCCTAGCCTACATTAATCTTCAGTTTCCCTGGTTGTCTCACTAGCCCATAATTTGGTGAGAGTTTATGTTATCTCTTTCTGGTTTCCTTTCATTCTTTGCCATATGGGTGTCTCTCTGTCTATGAGAGTGTATCATATAGTGTCTGCTATGAGTGTCTCTCTGGCTCTGACAGATTATATATTACCCACTGATTGCTCCCTCTCCAATGCCTGCTTTGCACATTTTACTATCTGCTCGCTTTTTACTGTATCTATCACTTGATTTATTGATCTGCTTTCCCTCTTGATTATTTTAAATACTTTTGAAAATGTTGTCTCTGGTCTTGTTCCCTCATTTTTCTGTCACATTCTCTATGTTTAATGTTCTCTCTTCTGTTCTTCAAAAGTCGTAATCCTGATCCCTTCCCAGTGCTATATAGTCGCAATGGCTTGCCGCTTTCTCCCGATAGTCCCTGCCCTTCTTCTGTTCTTCTTCTTTGCCTCCTCAACTGCCCCACCCCCTTCCTTATCCACTGATTTTATTCTATCCTGAAGATCTTAATCGTCTCTTTTGAGGTTCATTTCCTTTCATTCCTCTACGTCCTTCAGTGTAGCTACCCGGAGTTAGTCACTCCTGTGATGGCTGCCCTTTAGGCCCTCTATGACCTTTTCCAGGCCCCTAATGTCTTCTCTTTCGCCTTCACTGGTCTCTTGCAGTTCCTTCCGAGTGAAGCGTTCTCTCCTGCTGCCCTCTGATCAACTTATTTTGCTTTTTCTCCTCCACATCTCTTGTTAGTGCCTTTATATTCTCCTTAAGTTTTGCTGTGGTATTGCCATTTGTAGCTGCGTCTCATTCATATTGGCTCCTCGTGTTAAGCTATTCCATGTAGCTATGTTTAGGACTTTTGGGCGTTCCTTATGCCTATTGTTTATTGATCCCGCTCTGTCACTAATATCTCTCATATCTTTATTCTTCTTATTGATATCTGCTCTCTCTCTCTCTCTCTCTCTCTCTCCTCTCTCTCTCTCTCTCTCTGTCTGTCTGTCTGTCTGTCTGTCTGTCCTGTCTGTGGTCTGTCTGTCTGTCTGTCTGTCTGTCTGTCTCTCTCCTCTCTCGTCTCTCCTCTCTCTCTCTCTCTCTCTCTCTCTCTCTCCTCTTCTCTCTCTCTCTCTTCTCTCTCTCTATCTCTCTCTCTCTCTCTCTCTCTCTCTCTCTCCTCTCTCTCTTCTCTCTCTCTCCCTCTCTCCTCTCTCATCTCTCTCTCCTCTCTCTCTCTCTCTCTCTCGCTCGTCTCTCCTCTCTGTCTCTCCTCTCTCTCTCTTCTCCCTCTCTCTCTCTCTCTCTCTCTCGCTCTCTCTCTTTCTCTCTCTCTCTCCTCCTATCCTCCTTCTATCTACCTCTCCTTTATCCACTTCTCGTTCTCTCCATCTCTCTCTCCCTCCCTCTCTCGCCACCCTTCTCCTCTCTCTCTCTCTCTCTCTCTCGCAACTCAACTGATCTACCTTCTCTCTGACCTCTCTCCGACGTTCCTCTCTCTTCTCCTCTCTCATCTTCTTCTCTTTTTCATCTCGCTCTCTCTTCTCTCTCTCCTCTCCTCTCCTCTTGCCCTCTCTCTCTCTCGGGCAATCTTCCTCTCTCTCTCTCTCTCTCATCGTTATTTTCTGAGTGTTCCTGTGATGACACTACACCTCACCTGAGTTATAACTCCGAGGAACAGCAACTTGCACTAATGCATCAACTCCTTCAACTCAGCTCAACTGATAGGTTACGGTGGGTTGATCAGGTCTTAGATTCTCTGCTCTGTCCTCTGCTCTTGTTTCTCTATTATGTGGGGAAATGGTGGAGAGCTGATGGTGATGGTGGTGGAGAGGTGGTGGTGGTAGAGGGCTGGGGTAAGATAAGCAGCTCGTCTCTCCAGAGGGCGTCTTAAAATTTTATCTGGAGGTAAGAGTCAAGGAGATGGGGGGGGGGGATATTGAGGCTCTCGTTGGTGCATGAGGGAGAGTAATGGGAGAGGGAGAATATGTGTGTGAGAGAATGAGTAAGAGTATACGAACAAGAGAGAGAGTATGCAAGAGTAAAGGAAAGCAGCAATAGCGCAGTGAGGGAAGGAATGAGGGAGTAGATATAACTAGGAATAACAGATATCAGAAGAAAAACAAAACTGACGGTGATTCCCGAGGCTGTTGTGGGTGGTAAGAACGACAATATCTGCCGCTGCTGCTACGGATCCTACACCCACAGACCATAGAAAGGCAAAAGGCTCTCTCCCTACGCTGCTTCCGGATCACTCGGGGCACGAACACAATCAGTCTCCCGTCACGTGTTTACAGACAGACGTACATGGGCTTGGAAACGATTGCTACACTTATTACTACTATCCCTTAAGCCTATTCTGGTAATTATTTCGGCAATTATTAGCACTGCTACAAATAATTATATTTATTACTAATAATTATTAGTATCTCTCTCTCTCTCTCTCTCTCTCTCTCTCTCTCTCTCTCTCTCTCTCTCTCTCTCTCTCTCTCTCTCTCTCTCTCTCTCTCTCTCTCTCTCTCTCTCTCTCTAATCCGTATATGTATATTATATTTCATCTATTTAAGCCTATGTTTCAGACGGGAGTGTTGGTTCCCGCGTCTTCTCAGTAATGTGTAAATACGTTAAATAACTTGCGAGGAAACAGAGCACTTTGAGTAATCCAATGCCTTAACACACACATTGTTAAAGTAGGTATATTGGCTCTGATCCAATATCGTACCTAATCCCATTTGCGCGCCAAAAACTAAACAAATAGGGGAAACTGAGGTGAAATTGTTTGTGGTGTTTCCGAAAGGCGAAGGGAAATTTTGGTGAGGATTGGAATAAATCTTGGTGAGGATTGGAATAAATCTTGGCGAGGATTGGAATAAATCTTGGTGAGGATTGGAATAAATCTTGGTGAGGATTGGAATAAATTTTGGTGAGGATTGGAATAAATCTTGGTGAGGATTGGAATAAATCTTGGTGAGGATTGGAATAAATCTTGGTGAGGATTGGAATAAATCTTGGTGAGGATTGGAATAAATCTTGGTGAGGATTGGAATCAATCTTGGTGAGGATTGGAATAAATCTTGGTGAGGATTGGAATAAATCTTGACGATGCGACAAAGCAGTTCCCTTCTGTCGTTTGTTATTTAACTCTTTGTGAGAAAAAAAAAAACAGAAATTTATGTTCATCTACTCTACACAGGAATATCTACTCAACACAGGAATATCTACTCTACACAGCCACATCTACTCTACTCAGGAATATCTGCTCTACACAGGAATATCTACTCTACACAGGAATATCTACTCTACACAGCCACATCTACTCTACACAGCCACATCTAATCTACACAGGAATATCTACTCAACACAGGAATATCTATTCTACACAGCCACATCTACTCAACACAGGAATATCTACTCTACACAGCCACATCTACTCTACACAGCCACATCTAATCTACACAGGAATATCTACTCTACACAGGAATATCTACTCTACACAGGAATATCTACTCTACACAGGAATATCTACTCTACACAGCCACATCTACTCACACAGGAATATCTACTCTACACAGGAATATCTACTCTACACAGCCACATCTACTAACACAGGAATATCTACTCTACACAGCCATATCTACTAACACAGGAATATCTACTCAACACAGCCACATCTACTCAACACAACAACACATACAGTGTTCTGTGTTGAAAGTATCACTAATATATCTGTATTTACGTATATAGCATTTAAAAGTAGAAGAAATTAAAGATAGGAAGAAAGGGAGAAGAGAAATTTGAATATGATTGTGACTACACAACTGGGACTTGATGTGTACAAGTCTTATACCTGTTGTATTATTGTTGATTATTATTGATGTATTATTGTTGTATTATTGATGTTTGTAGTCATTATTATTCGTATTTAGAGGTGCGGGTTGAGGTGGCTTCCAGGACTTCCGCTTGTGTTGTATTCCACCTCTTGATCAGCCGTAGTGATTATACGGTTATTTCGACGCATTTCGTACGGAAACCTCCACCACACTCACCACCCACACCTGTAGCAACCCAACACACTCACCACCCACACCTGTAGCAACCCAACACACTCACCACCCACACCTGTAGCAACCCAACACACTCACCACCCACACCTGTAGCAACCCAACACACTCACCACCCACACCTGTAGCAACCCAACACACTCACCACCCACA